ATCCCAGTATGTCCAGTCCGGGGTGGGGGCGGCACTGGGAACCCAGATGCCTGGGTTCTTGGGGCTAGTGGGTGGGAGCAGGTAGGGAGTGGAAATCTGAATGCCTGAGTTCTTTGGGAGGGGAGTGAGAACAGGGGAGCTGGGAGCCCAGACGCCTGGGTTTTCTAGGAGGGGGTGTGGCTGGCAGGTGGGAGCAGGGTGGGGAGCTGAGAACCTGGACATCTGGGTTCTACTAGGCTGCCTGTCCCAGCTAGGTTGGGGGATCCTCTAGCCATGTATCCCCTAATACTGATGTGCCCCCCAACCCAGGTTCTACGCCCCTTCCTGCTGCGGCGGGTGAAGGTGGATGTGGAGAAGCAGATGCCCAAGAAGTACGAGCATGTCATCAAGTGCCGCCTGTCCAAGCGCCAGCGCTTCCTCTATGACGACTTCATGGCCCAGGCCACGTGAGTGCGGGGGCCGGATGCCTGGGTCCTCTGGGAGGGCAGTGCGGCTTAGGGGACGGGAGCTTGGATTCTACAGCCATGTTGTACCCAGTTCCCACTGCCCACCCCAGAGCCGGCCACAGCTCAATTACACCCGGCCCCGGCGCCCACCGCAGAGCCGGCCACAGCTGTTATACTTGGCCACACCCCAGAGCCAGCTGCATCCAGGGGCCGGGCCTAGGGTAGCTCCCGGTTCCACAGCCAACCGGGCTCTCTGTCCCCCGTCCCCCCTCCCCAGCACCAAGGAGACGCTGGCCACGGGGCACTTCATGAGCGTCATCAACATCCTGATGCAGCTGCGCAAGGTCTGCAACCACCCCAACCTCTTCGACCCACGGCCCATCCACTCCCCCTTCATCACCCAGGGCATCTGCTACACCACCGCCTCCCTCGTCCTCACTGCCCTCGACCACCACCCCTTCAAGGTAGGCACCCCTGGCGTCTTGTTCCACTCGGTCGTTTCCTGCCTGTTCCACCCCAGAGCTGGCCGCAATGTGGCTCCCCTCGGTCGGGCCCTGATCCTGGCCTGCTTTGCGGGACACCAGCCAGGTTATGGGACCAGGAGGGCAGTTCGTGATGTCTGATAGATGAGAGCTCGGGGCGGCTAAGAGCCTGAATGCTTGGGTTCTCTGGGAGGAGAGTGGGGACTGGGGGCGAGTTCTGTAGGAAGGAGAGTGGGGCCTAAGGGTTGGAGTGTCTTGGGGGCTGCGTTCCCTGGGATAGGACTGGGCACCAGTGGGTGAGAGCTGTTGGGGGTAGGGGGAAGGCTGCTTGCCCAGACTCCAGGGTACTCCGAGAGAGGAGTGGGGCCTGGAGAGTTAAGATCAGGTGGACCTGGGTTCTTTGTGCGGGGGGGGTGAACCAGATGCCTGGTTCTCTGGGAGGGTACTGGCATTCTTTACTGTTTAGTCCCTGATCTAGGAGTGGAGAGGGGTCAGGGATTTTCCCTCTAAGAGGGAGCGCTACCCCCACAGGTGTTTATTATATAGCAATATACTTAGCCATTTGCAGCCTGCTCCACCCCAGAGCTGGCTGCAACATAGCCATAAATTGGGGAGTAGACCTTTCCCATCCAGGGCAGGGGGTGGAGCCAGGAGGCAGGGGCTTCCACTGATTGGGCATTGCCCCTGGCAGCATGTGGACATGGGCATGTTTGACCTGATCAACATGGAGGGCCGGGTGTCACGCTACGAGACCGACACTTTCCTGCCCAAGTGGAAGGTGACGCGCAAGCTCATCGAGGAGATTGCTGAGTCCCCCGACCCCCCACCCCGGCCCAAGCCCGTCAAGATGAAAGTCAACAGGTACCGGCGGCCTGGATGCCTGGGTTTCCTGGCAGGGGAGCAGGGGCTGGAAGGGGTGAGAGCAGGGAGGCTGGGAGCCCAAATGCTTGATTTTTCCAGGAGTGGAGTTGGGGCTGGAGGGTAATAGCAGGGGACCTGGAGCCTGGACTCTCCTGGGTTCTCTGGGAGGGATGTGGGGGCTGGTTGGTGAGAGCTGGGGTGGGCTAGGAGCCTGGATGTCTGGGTTCCCCACCTCACGAAGTGGAGATCAAGGCTGACCCCAGTTTTCCCCCCCCCCACCTCACTGGGCATCTCCCTCACAGGATGCTGCAGCCATCAGCCAAGCCGGAGAACCGCACAGTGGTGCTAGTTAACAGCCCGCGGCCCCCAGCTCCGCCGCAGCGCCCCCTGCTGCCTGAGGGCATGGCTCCGCTACCCATCACCACCCATCTGCCCCTACAACCTCTGGGCCCCATGTTGCCGGGGCCTGTGCAGCCACCCACCCTGCCCCACCCATTGTCCGTCGCTACCTCCCTGCCCCTCCCTGCGGGGCCGGTGCTGCCCCCTGCCAGGCCCCCAGCCCCACCATTGGGGCCACCGCTAGGCCAGAACAGCGCCGCCATCACAGCCACCATGCTCCAAGCACCTACTCCTACCCCACAAGGTAAGGTCCAAGGGGTTTTCCATCCGTTTTCCCCTTCCTTGATAAAAGGAAACACTCCTTGGAAGCACTGGCCCTTTGTGGGGGCTGTTAATCAGTGGGGGATGGGGTTTGGGGTCTGTGGGTGTCACACTCTTCCTCTTGGGGGAAATGCAAATGACCCCCTAGAGTACTCTGTCCCTTTAAGGGGTGGGCTATGATTCAGCTGGGGTGTGGTCTGTTGATGCCACACCCCCTCACCAAGGCTGTGCCTGCCCACAAGCAGTCACCC